GATAGTACTGCACTGCTGTTCCTTCATATTTCATGGGATTCTTGTATCTTGATGCTTTTTTTTTCACATCGGAGGCTGACTTTTTATTTACAGACGACCTCATGTCTTGCACGTTGTTACAAAAAGCCTCGTCAACCACAAAGACACGTCCCGCTCCAGCTCTGCAGGCTGCGATGAGGACTGTGGGTCATGAGGACAAAAAGATGTTCAGACATTTCTGGGGAAAATGATGACCCCTGTGTGGAAACTGGATTCTGTCCTGAACAAACACACACTCACAGAAAGACAACAAGCGAGCGGGGCCAGTGTTTCTTGGCTCCATATGAAAGACAGCTGTAGATTTCTGATCATGTCTCCGCAGCCTGGGGACATGTTGCAGTAACAGTGGTCTTTGTTCCACTGTTGAGACAGAACAGGGGAGGAAGGGAGGGAGACGCTTCACAAACAGGAAGTCAGTCAGAGGGTATAGAAGCTAAATGACCCAGAAACTGACTTGTTTTATATTTTATTTATTAAATTAAATTAAAAACAACAACACACACGTAAAATCTGCTCATGTAGAAAACCAATCAGCATCAGCACCATCTGATAAATAGATAAATGACCCACACACGCTCACATTAAGGCCCATGCTGGAGAGATAAGACCATAAAGGTTTCAGAGGTAGATGAAGCTGCATCATATTTTTCCAAAGGCTTAAAATATAGTGTTTTGTGATTATCTACATCATCATGTATTTTGTTACGCTGCAAACAGGATAGAGCTCAAAGATACTGGTCCGGCCCACAACAGAAGCGGAAGGGTCTGCAGTGATATCACAGTTAGATACTTCAGAGAAGAGGCGGCACAGTGGCGCAGCGGGTGAGAACTGTCGCCTGACACAGCCAGAAGGTTCTGGGTTCATACCTGCAGCAACAATTAAAAAACAATAATAGTTTTTTTGTATTGTTGTTTGTAATTAATGTAAAGTGACTGTAAATTATCATTTAAGTCATTTTTAGGGAAAACTGATTTATTTGAGCTACATTAGAAATCAGTGATGGTAAGATAGTTAGTTAGATTTAGTTATTAATTAAAAATGTG